AACCACATCATAAACCGCGGTTATCGAGGCCGGATCAAGAGCTAGCCTTCCTAGCGGGTCAGCTACCAACCACCTGTGATAACCCTGAAGGGAAGCCCTCTCCACAGCCCCAAACCAGATGTCTGAAGTGGCCGATAATCCTTGGAAAACCTGCCGAATTTGGGCAATCCAATTGCCGCAGATGATTGCACTATCCGATAGACTAGCAGAGGTAAGCTTTGGTAGCTCGGAGACATACTTAGCGGGCTCCTCCGGCCGGTTAGGTAATCCCCTTTCCCCTGAAGCAAAGCCTGAAGTGGCCCCTAACCCACAATCCCCCGTAGCTCTTGGTACAAAGGGAACCTCGTCCCTTGTTAGCACTGGAGGCGGAATGGGAGGTTGCCTAATTGACGTACCTCCTGGGGATACAGGATAACCCTGATCATCAAAAACAGCAGATGCCACATTACCCCTAGGCGTCCTAAACTCATCACCACCTCCCAAACTCCGATCTCGGGCAGACTCAGCAAATTGCCTCATCGACTGAGGGCCCTCAAGCACCGATGGCGGCACTACAGGTGGCACTGGTGGCAATGGCAATGGTGGGCTAGGGGTATAACCAGTTAGCCCTCCAGCTTGTCCAGCAGGAAACCTGTTAAACCCGATCCCCCAACCCTCATTTCCCCTGCTATCACACACCATCCTCGCCATCATCTCCTCAGGACGCAGCCCGAAACCCGAAGAGATAGGCCTCAACTCCAAACTCCCTTGCCTAGTCAACTCAGCCCCAGAAACACCATAGTTCCCTTGACCCAGGAAATCCGGCGGCAAGAACCTCTGTGGATCATCCACAGTACGAGGACCAAAAGTCACTGGAGAGGAATTCGACTCCCCTGGTAGGCCAGAATGCCAGCTAGAGTGAGACCTAGACTCAGTTTGCTCCAGCTTTCTCTTTAAAGCCTTATTCTCCTCCATCATGGAAACCAGCAGTCGCTCCATTCGCCCTAGACGATCCTCGTCTGCCGGTGTCAGCTCAGGACCACCATCCTCCGGGGCCTCCGCAGGTCGCTGCACCCCTTCATCCTCAATCAGAGCTTCAGCTGCAGCCCCTGTTGATCTCCTTGATCCCAGGGCCTCTTGCTTGACCTCCTGAGATGGGGCTCCTTGAAAATCTCCCGCAATTCCCGGCAAATCCTCGCGCACCGTTTCCACTCTGGCCACTCTCGGGCCCACAGAAGCCCTGTTTTCTGTTCCAAAGGCCATGTCATAGTCTGGCTCCAGCAATCCTTTTGTCGCCTGATCCCCCAGAGCAGCTTCGTTTACATCTGTTGTTCCATTTAACCTACTAGCGTCAATGTCCAAGGTGGAAGGCCGGGACCGCCTCAAAGCCACCTCAGTCTTCACCCTTTCGCTATGAAAGGGGTTCGCAACCGGGAGTTCCGACTCACGAGTGGATCCCGCTTCCCCCAGCTCCAAAGCTCCCGGGGAAGCTTCTCCGGGTTGCACCCCCGTAGCTCGGGCCTCACTGGCCCCTATCATCTGACCCAAGGCTGTTTGGTATGCTGATTCAATCGCTCCATCCCCTTCAGCCCGCACTGAGCCTCTGGGGGCAGTGGCCTGCTCCTCCGGAATCCCAGACCTCCTCTTACGCACCATAGGGTCCATGATCCGAAGACCTACCACTTATGACACCTTTCCAAGCCTAGACCACCTAGCCCAGTATATTAAGCCGTTACGGCTGATAACCTACGTGAAGATAAGACCAACCAAAGTGATAAGGAAGCCCAAAGATCTGAAGATGTTACCGAACACCAATCAATGAACAGGGCCTTACTCCTTTTCGACGAAAAAACAGCCTCGGTCCATACATGGTCTCCCTATGCTCAAGACCCGTGCTTCACGCACTCCCCCTCACTCTAATGTCCAACACTAGAGTGATAGGTGAATGCCCTCAGGAAAAGACACAGATAAAAGTATGCAATAAAGCATCTTCATCACGAAGCACCGATCTCTCTGTACCCTGTAAGTCCACCTCAGCTATCTGGACAAAAACCGGGAGTTCAAAGGTTGATTCCGATCGCCCCTTTCTGTCCATAGGAGCTGTCTCCTTAGGAGACAATATCACGAAACCCCTCACCGGCATCCCACCAACATTATCTGGATTTTTTGGCAGATGATCGAAGCACCTCAAAGGTTGCCGACCCTAGTCTATAGCACCCTATAAAAGCCCCTCTAAACACATGGGAAGGCGCCTTCGAATCATCCCCTCAACCGCATTGCTCAAAGCTGTTTCCTCATATGTACCAGCTGGTTCCATCTTCCACAGGTTCTGGTATCCAGGGAATACTCAGTCTGAGTCAGAGACTTCACCGGCTTCGACCTTAACAAGATAATCCCCTACCAACCAATGGAACTCATCCTGAATGTCCTCTGGATACTCCTCTGGGTCAAACGGAATGCCAGCCTTCCAGAAGCAGAATAAAATACGCCCCCGATGTGGGACACTAGACTGAAGAGGCATACGAACTACCGCTCCTGGTTCGGTCTGACATCCTTGGTCTCGGTTTAAACAAGGTGTTAAGCTGCGGCATCTACAGCAATACCGCCCGATTTCCCAGATCACAATGCAACCGGTGGTCCAACCCACTATCAACCATGGGAAACCATCACTTCCCGACAGGCCTCCATCCTCAGGTTTGAGCATGGTCCAAGGGACTAGCGCGCAGCGGTCATCATCACATCGCCCAAATTGACTGACTTCCGAAGACACTCCTACACCAACAGCCGTCTTCACACAACACAAAACTACTACCCAAAACAACAAAACTCCTTTACCGAAAAGTCCCAACCACTCCTCAATACTCGTCCACCATCCACTAGGAATAGGATCTGAGCTAGAGGCCGATGAACTTCCAAGCTGCGCCAATTCAAGCAAATCCCTCTCAAACACACTCCAATCCCCAGTATGAAGTCCGGTCACAATGGCCCGAACCCTTTCTTCACTCCAACCCGGCAGTGGTATCCGAAAAGCATCATCAGCATAGTAAGTGATCAAACAACCTTCACCTGCCTCATACCTTAGTCCGGAACCCTGCTGCAAAACCCTCCTTAATTCTATAGCTTCCTCTTGCTCCGTCCTTCCGTGGGCCTGGGAGCCCAACTCAACATCGGAGTCAGAAAGCTCAACCGAGGGTTCAGTAGTAGACACACTTGTGCTGCTCTCCTCCGAGTCAGAGGCTTCATCGCCACCATCACCCCTATCCCACACCAACCCTAAACCGCCCCTAGGTGGCCCAAGGTTATGTGGGTGATCATCTAAGGCGGGATCATCCTCTGCCCCCAGGACATCGGCAAACGGAAAGATCCGTTCCCCGGACTGAAAATATGTTTCGGCAGCGTCATAAGTGCTGTCCCCATCCGCTAGATATCGTCTCCCTGTTCTTTCCAACCACACTATCAGCGCCAATACAATGTTCCTCCGAAAGCCTTGAGCGGCAGCTCTGAGCTGCGCCCACTCCCTAACTCTATCCCCTAGAAAATCTAAAATGTCCGAACCGTTTACGGCACAGACCTGCCAGAGATAATGCACAACATAAGGAGGACCCCATACTACATACGGAAAGACCCCAGGCTCAGGCTCTTGTGCAACATGATCCCCACTTGGTAGGGTTCGGCGGCATACGTAATCCTCAACTTCCAGGACCCACTGAGGTCCCTGGTACCTATTCGGGAACCTATCCCTCAAAACATCGGCTACCGACCCCACCAAAGCTTGCCTTAAAAAAGCTGAGGCTACCCTTATGCACAGCCACTCGCTTGCTCTCTCACCTAAGTACCATAGAATGCGAGGACCTTCTAAGGAAAACAACTGGACCAAGAAATGAACCCTAATCCATGTTCCGACAATAGGAAACCCTTCCCTATCCTCAATTGGCAAAAGGTAATCCTCATAGCATGCTTCCCACTGATCCTGGCCACTGGTCTGGAACCCTTGACTAGAGGAGCTCCCCCCAATCTGTTCAACGGGACCCTCGAGGGGATTAGTTACCTCTGGGTGTTCCTCAGGAAGGCTCAAGCTCCCTTGCTCTAAGAATCTGACCTGCCTCCAAGTACCTTGACCTTCCCCTTCATCAAACTGAAACTCCGCATGGTACTGCCCCGGGAATGGTTCAAGGGACGCTCCTGTATCCTGAAGACAAGACAACAGAACCAGCCTCGCATTTCTCCTAAGACAACGAGCTGCTATTAGTACCGATCGCCAATCTGAAGCCTGCACTCCTAGGTAAATAGAAATCTCACCTCCATGCTGGCTCAACAAGGCGCCCCATGCTATTGCTCCTACTTGAACTGGGAAACCCGAGTGAACTTGTGAGAAATCGCCTACCTGCACCGAGGAATCCGAGTGAACTTGTGAGAAATCGCCTACCTGCACCGAGGAATCCGATTGAACTTGTGAGAAATCGCCTACCTGCACCGAGGAACCCGATTGAGCTTGGTCTCCGGACCCCCTCCCCTCTTGTGCCCAGTCCGGTATTCCTCCGAACCTTTGGAGAAATGTAGGGGGTTCCAAAACTCCCCCGGACTCTAGAGCTCTACGAACCCTAGCTCGTTGCACCAGAGTAAGTCCAGTCCTAGACTCTTCAAGTTGGAGCTTACGGGTAGCTTCCTGCCACTCCTCCTCTGTAAAGTCGTCATCTGAAAGTCCAAAAACCCCCGTATCCCTCTCAGGCTGACTCCGACTGTTCGGATTGCCATCCTCACCTTGGGACCCCTCGATCCCTTCGGAAGAAACCAGCTGCGCACTCCCTTCCGAAGTCCCTACCAGAAGTCCTAGACCATCCCCTGACTCTTCCCCCAACAACTCCCTCTCAGAAGGAGACAACGTTGGCTCATCCTCAGAACATGGTCCCGAACCGCTGGCACTGCCTTCCAAAGGAAACCCAATCAGCCCTGTGCCCCTCCAAAGATACCGAGCACCCCAAAGCAAACACAGCCCTAGGACAACTACCCCTATTACCCAAGTCAACCAGCCCTCTAAGTCAATCAAACGCTCCTGGGTCGGTTGGCCCTTCACTCCCGGAATCACTGCCAACAAGGCCAAACCTGCCAAGGCTTCTGCAGTCATAAGCTCTACCTGATCAGCTACACGCACCCTCGTAAGCGCTCTAGCAGTAACGGCCGAGCCCGTAGCTGACACCGGTCTCCTGATGTTAACCAATTCTAAAAGCTGCAGAATCCGAGGACGTGCTAGAGGCTTTGTGCCTAAATCGGCAACCTGGTATTCTCCGGGCAGGTGTGTAACCTTCAGAAGGCCGGCATCGATACGTTCCCTGCCGGCTACCGCTCGCATCCTTAAATGCCTATTCCTCCAGCCGGCACTGGCCGTTTCAAAAGCTCGGACTGATGCTTCGTTGTCCCCCAGAAGGGAGATCATGGAGTCTGCCTCAATCAACTCGTCGATGAGCGGTTGAACAGCTTCCGAAAGCTGTATTCCGTGAACCATACATACTAATTCAGCTTCGGCAGAGCTCAACGTGGTGAATGGTTGCCTGGTTGCCTCCCAGGCAACCGGAACCCCCCGCCAAACAATGAATACTGATTGCATCGACCTCTCTCCCCCAGGGCTATGCGACGCATCCGTGTACAGCTCAATTACCTTCTCGGTCCTTGGAAGAGCCAGCAGGCCATGATCTGAAAACAAGTTCCCGACCACAAAAAGTACCTCGATCCCCAAGTCTTGGGTGCCCTGCAAATAAGCCAAGGCCTGTTTGGCCAATGAAATCGAAAGACCAGGGGCCTTTGTAGCTTGCTGGCCGCAACGGCTAACCACGTAAGAAAGGTCCGGCCTCGTTCTCGTAGAGATCCACAATAACGCCCCCGTCATCGCCTGAGCTTCCTTAATAGCTTCAGGAGAAGGATTCTCCTCGATCTCAGGTTCCACCCATTTTCCGATCGGAGAGGAAGCATATGTCCCGACATTGTATCGCTGCAGAAGCTCAATAATGTACGCCTTCTGGGTCATGCGGAACCCAAAGTCCTGCAGAGTCAATTCGATTCCGCAAAAAGTCACCGGTTCTACCCCCAACCATTGGGGTGCAGATGTCTTCCAATGATTTTGCACGACCCGAATGAACTCTTGACACAGCCCGGAGGGACCCAGGAAGGCTAAGTCATCGACATACACTATTAAAATTCCACAGATGTCTCCAAAGGCATCCTCACCGAGCGCCCTGACGAGCCACAACGAATCATCCGATTGGGCCTGGCATAAACTATAGGTCACCCCTTCCCAGCTCAGAACAAAAGTCCGAAATACGCCATCTCTGTAGCGACCCCAGTCTCTGGGTGAGGTGGGTAACCCATACAGGGCTTTACGCACCCACCAGCGATCCTCTCTTTTTAGTATGCCCAATTCGACTAAGAACCCCGGAGGCTTCACTATAATGCGCTCTTCGGAAGTATTATTACGGATAGGGGCATAAAGGAAAGCCGACTTAACATCTATTACGATACCTACCCAAGTCGGGTGGCAAGCGGCAAACGTTAAAGCAATCTTTACCGAGAGTGCTTCCGCACCTGCTGCGTATAGCTCCTCCCTGGTAAGTCCCAGTCGATCTGTTGGTAAGTGATTTCCACAGCAAACTGCTCTGCATCGTCTCTTGCCGGTCCCTGACTTCCTAGTTAATACTACCTTCCCTGGCAGCTGCACAACCTCTACGCCTTCAGAGGCCCACTTATCAACTAAGGACGCAGGCACCCTCTGGACCGCTTGGTTAACCGTCTCTAGACTAGAAACCTCATCCTGGGCCGGCTCAACCCATTTACCCCATTCCTTTCGGGCCTCTGCTAAGCTTACATTCCGGGTTTGCAGGAACTGATCAACTCCCTTATCCGAGCCCTCAACCAAAGGAACATCAATCCCTAAGGTACGAACCGCCCCAACAATGTCATCCTCCTCTTGACAGCTCCACAAAACCTCCTCTAACCAATCCCTTTTACTTTCCTCCCACTGCAGATTACTAAACACCGTATGCAGTTCCTCCTCATCCCCAGAAATCTCACTTAGCCGACTAGACAAAAGTAGGCACAACCGCGCTGTCCCTTGGTGATCATGTATCCAGCCTTCACGCTCGTCAGAAATCAACACCGGACAGGGCACTCCTACAGTCCATTCTTCATAAAGCACGCCTTCATAATTAGGCGTAGGGGTCGGTTCTTCCACGGTAACCCCTTTTACCTCAACACCTCCATCCCTTAAGCCCTGCACCGGAAACCCTAACCCGACCAACGAGTCCCAATGACTGGCTAACGGACCCTGGTAATCCCTAGGCACAAACGCAGAAACTACCCACCTATCACCTTCCCAATCCTCCGAGGCATGCCACTGGCTTCCTAGGAAAGACGCTGGACTTGCTTTCAAATCATGTACTATTCCGGCCCTCTTAGACCCATCAGGCAAAACCTTACAGACAGTGCCATCATTATCCTCCGAGGCTACCCACAAGCCCCCGCCTACGAAATCACCCAGGGCCCTAGCTACAATCGGAAACCTAGTAGCATTTCTCAGATCCCTGTGAAGAGGCATTCTAGTATTATGGGAAATGTACAACGTAGTCCATGACCCCTCAGGACACTCACTCCTCAGGAACCGGTTCACATACTCAACTACCCTTGGAAAGCTCTGGGCACTCTTAGAGATTCCTTGGAAACCCCCAACAGCATATAGTCCACAAACCACCGCCCGGCCTTGCCGTTGTAGCATCGGCCTTCTGGCCGCTGGTAGCTCCGAGAAGGATCGCCGGAGAAAACCCAGCTGTCGTTATTCCTATCACTCGATCGAACTCCCTTTACTCCAAGGATAGAACAGCTCTCCTCTTCCCAAAGCAACTCCCCAGAATCTACAGTGGAATGATAGGCGCTTGTTTCAGAACCAACTGGCCCGTCCAGATCCCCTTCTAGAACCCAATCCTCCTCACCGGAATCGTCCTTCACAAGAACCTTAATTTCAAAATCACCTAAGGACTCCCCCCCAGGTGCGAACCAGTTCCCAGCACCTGGCATCTTCTCGAACAGAGTAGCAGCTACAGCCCGTAATGCAAAATCAGGCGAGCGCTTGCTCGTGAGCCGATACCTGGGCCGACGAGGAGCCCCGGAAGGCTCCCCGCGCAAAGGATAAATCGTGCTTGTCAGCAAAACTTTCATTTCTCCTTCACTTCCCTCCTCCGGAACTAAGACTAGATAACCCCCACTAACATTAGGAGCCGGTCCCACGAAAACACCCTGAGTGCTACGGGACCGCCAGTTGGCATCATAACCCGTCTTAGAGCGGCACCGCGCGTGCACCTTCGTCCCGAACGGGATTAGATGTGAACAAGGAACGCCTAACGATATGGAGAAGTCCGACCAATTTCGAGCCGAAGCATGCAAAAGTGCCAGCGGCCAAAACATCTTATCCAACCCGGATGCATGCAGCAACTTCCTGACAAAAGCCTTCAAGTTCTGCACAGCTAACTCCGCACGATTCCCAGAAGGAGCTTCCCCCGGGGTGCTAGTTACATGGATACCTTGCTGCTTCATCCAGGTCAACAACGCCGTCGTTCGGAGCTCTTTAGCTCGGTCACTGTGATAACGATGGACAGGAAACCCATGGGCCTCTAGCTTGTTCACCAAGCCCTGAACCGCTAGAGTAACCCCCTTTCCGGCTTTGGACTTCAGAGGAACCCCTATGAACAAGGTCCTCATCTTTGCCCCCACCGTTCCATCCCCGGACCCTTTCTCAGCTTCATCCCGGGTGTCTTCTAGTGGTGGGGGTCCAGGCAACTCCGGTCTCTTAGCGGATACCCTCCTATCTACCACCCTTACCGAGCAATCCCCCGGAAGACTTAGGAGCTCATCTAGGTCTTCTAGCAGACCCTCCTCCTCAGACCGTCCTACCACTGGAACTAGCTCATCATCCCCTTCACCACCCTCACTAAGCTTAGTTCCCTCCTTGTCAGGGAAATCGAAACTCTGCGGGACGGTGTACGAGCAGGCCAAAAAGAACCGATAGCCCCCATGCCGTGCCCTACCGCTAGCCTCCTCATCATAGGATTGGCCCGCTCTGAACGGACCCGCTATATCAGCGCTCAGAGCATGAACCACAGGGTGGCTCGTTCTCCAGTGAGACCGCCTCCTTCCCTGAGACATGATGCAGATCGGGCAGCCCTTGCGAAACGGACTGTGGTCCCGTGCCACATGTCTAGCATAAGACTCCGCCTCACTTAGCCTCTTAAGCAACGCCTGTCTCTCTACGGCTTCATCCGATCTGCTAACTTCGGAAGTCCACTGAGTCCAGGCGCCTTGAACGACACGCAGCAGCTGCCCTGTCCAGCCTACTTTACTCATACCTATCCCGTTAGGGCAAAACCTCCGAAGAACCTCCAAGGCCTCCTTTACATCTCCCCGAACCCGAACCTCATGAAGTGTCTCAAACAAGAACCATGACGAAGTCACCAAACCGGAGGGATAAAGCCCTGGAGCCCCCAAGCAGCCCTGGTCAAAGCACACCCGATGAAGTCCATACACCGACAGAAGATTCTCCAGAACCCCAAAGCCCCCTTTCAACCCGCATCCTGGATCTATCACCAAAAACACTTCGCCGGGCCTAGGTACCCCGGTCCCAGTTGGACCGTCCCTCAACTGAACGGCCGCCCTCTTAATGGCCCACCTTATAAGATCCTCAGAATTTCCGGACTCCAAAGGAGGGGCCTCCGGAGCCTCCTCTATCGGGGGCATCCTGCCCTTCTCTTCCGTCCCTGGTTCCCCTTTTAGAGATAGGCTATCACAGTAGGCTTGGGACACCGCATAGACCAATAGGAACCTAAGCGCGCGAACCACCCTCTCTGCATCAGTACCTAAATCGTCTACGCTCAAGCCTCCCTGTACCTGAGCCAACCTTTCAAACTCATTAACCAGCTCTACACCTTCAGCCTCCCTATGTCCCGAGGATCCCTTCACTAGACCCCCAATCAGGCCCTTTTCTGCCCAATTCATCAGGAGACGAAAGACCACCTTCGAGCCCAGGCCCTTCTCCGAATCGGCAACCTGAATCACCCTTCCTAGACCCTTCCATGAATTCGGAAATGGTGCTACCGCCAGCATTACGGATCCCGGTTGTGATCGAGCTACAGATCTCCTGAATCTTCGGTTCCAAGGCAAATCGGCCCAGTCCACTGATTGGGAATCCAAGGCTGAGGCACATGCCAGCGCCAACAGCTTTAACGGTAGCTTTGGAAACAAGGCTCGCAGATAAATGAACTGATCCACCTCAGACAGGCTCTTGACGCGGACCTGATCCCTCAGCCATGCCCTCGCTTCAGCCGCTGAGAGCTCTGCCCCCAAACCTTCTACCTCCATACTGCTCAGCACGGGCCTCCCCTGAATTCTATCCTCAAACTCCTGTAGCAACCGAAGGCCTACTTCCCTAGGGATTAGAGGGCAACCCTTTACCACGGTCACATTCAGCGTCCCCCATTTCGGATGTCGCACCTTACACCCATTCCTCTTCCAGACAATACTATACCCCAGCTCAACCAGATAGTTTGCCGGGAGTATCACTTGGCATTGACCGACATGAAGTAGGGTTCCCTGGGGGTTAATCCTAAGACTCGTTCCCCCAGACGCTAAGTCTACATGGATTACCCGACATCCTTCCAACTCCTCTTCACTCGCTGGTCGAAGGGCGTTGGTTGCTCCAGAGTCTATAAGGCAATACTCAGGGTCCGACGCACTAGTAAGGGCGCTACGGACCCATGTGAGGTCCAGCTCATCCCCCAGCCTAACCGCCTTCAGAGACACCCCCTTAAGGAGTTTCGCCGCCTCTGCAACCAACGCCTCGTGGGTGAGACTCCCATTCCCTGCATGCGGAGCTTGGGCCGTGCTGGTTCCTGCAGAAGCTCCAGATCCGCCTTCCTCAACTACACCCTTAGCCTGAGCCCCCGACTTAGCCTTAGCCTTGCCCTTGGACCCCCCTTTTGAGCCCTCAGCGCCACTGGCCTTAGGAGACCCTCCAGTCTTGGCTTCCGCAGGCCCCTGACGGGCCTCCGGAGGAACTACGCTGCACTCTGGTCGGATGTGGCCCGCTTGCCCGCAGGCCAGGCACTTTCCTTCCCGGCGGGCCTTTGCCCGATCATGCTTGAAGATGCAGTTGTCCCCATACCGACGCCCAGAGCCATCGCTAAACTTAAAACACTCCGGTTGAGCTCCCTCTCCCCCTTTTCCTTTCCCTTTACCCTTACCTTCAACCGACGGGGTACCTACCGCTGCAACCGACGGATTAGGAGGAGGCGGAGGAGGGTTAGGGCTCTTAGCAGCCGATGGCTCCTTAGCAACCGCTGCGGCACCCCTAGCCCTTTTATCACCCTGCGGAGTCCCTTCAACCAAAGCTACCCCTTCACTCTCCGCCTGAAGAAGCCTTACCAGATGGGTTACACCGGTCACTGTGGGATTGTAATCCAAGGCAACACTATTCCTAAACGAGTTCACTCGAAAGGCTACCATGGGGTTGGATCCTAGCAAGGTGCCCGTTGCCCCGTCAACCCCTTTAAGAAGCAAAGACGCATCCGGTAGTGATGCGCCCACTTCCGCTGCCCTTTGCAGACTCTGCTGCCACTTTCTAAGAACTCGGACCGCGTCAGCAAATGTCTTACACGTCTCGGGAGTAACCAGCTGGCCCAAAAGATTGGCCCTTTCTGAACTACCCCCCGGTTGGTAGAGACATAAGACCCTGAACAGAATTGCCGAAGTCGTCAACCACCGATTCACCACAATATCTTCCTTAATGTTGGCTGGAAGCGCAGCAAGAAGAAGACTCACAGCCCTGCTCTCCACCCGTTGATACCG